GAACCTGGAGCATCCCAGGTGCAAACACAACCTGGATCATCCCAGGTACAAACATAATTCCAGGAGAACCTGGAGCATCCCAGGTGCAAACACAATTCCAGGAGAACCTGGAGCATCCCAGGTGCAAACATAATTCCAGGAGAACCTGGAGCATCCCAGGTGAAAATACAATTATAGAAAAACCTGGCGCATCCCAGGTGAAAATACAATTATAGAAAAACCTGGCGCATCCCAGGTGAAAATACAACCTGGAGCATCCCAGGTGCAAAACACCAATCCACAAAATCCTAGATCATCCCAGGTGCAAGCACAAATCCAGGAAAACCTGGTGCATCCCAGGTGCAAACACACCTAGGAGAATCCCAGGTGTAAACACAAATCCAGAAGAACCTGGGTCATCCCAGGTGAAAATACAACCAGGAGCATCCCAGGTGCAAACAAAACCTGGATCATCCCAGGTGCAAACACCAATCCAGAAGAACCTGGATCATCCCAGGTGCAAAACACCAATCCACAAAATCCTAGATCATCCCAGGTGAAAATACAACCAGGAGCATCCCAGGTGCAAAACACCAATCCACAAAATCCTGGATCATCCCAGGTGCAAACACAACCTGGATCATCCCAGGTGCAAACACCAATCCAGAAGGACCTGGGTCATTCCAGGTGCAAACACAATTCCAGGAGAACCTGGGTCATCCCAGGTGCAAACACCAATCCAGAAGGACCTGGGTCATCCCAGGTGCAAACACAATTCCAGGAGAACCTGGGTCATCCCAGGTGCAAACACCAATCCAGAAGAACCTGAATCATCCCAGGTGCAAACACACCCTGGAGCACCCCTGGACAAACACACCACCCCTCCTCTCACCTGGTCTCCGTGTCCTTGGCCGGTCCGGGCGATCCGAATCCCGAGAGCGGCCGCTCTCCGGGGCCGGGGAACATCTCGGGAGGCCCTGACGAGCTGGGGTTGCGCGTTTTGCCCACGGGGCCGTCCATGAAGACGGAGGAGCAGGAATCCTTGCGGAAGGACTGCCGGACAGGCGAGGAGCGGCTCGGCGGGCCCGAGTAGGGGCTGTGCGGGCTCTGCCCGGGCTCCACCATCTTCTGCGGGGACGAGGGCGGCATGCGGAAGCCCAGCCCGGGGCCGTACGTGTCGCTGTAGATGGGCGCGTTGGGCTTGTACAAACTGTCCTCCAGCTCCGTCTGCAGCGCGGCCGCCGAGTAGGTGCTGAGTGACCGCACTGAGCCCCGCTTGTAGAGCCCCCCCGAGTAGCCAAAGGGGTCCCCCATGCCCGCCAGCGACTGCGTGGAGGTGATGCTGAGCCGCCCCTCGTGCACCATCCCGTAGGGATCGGCGTAGAGCCCCTCGTTCTTCACCAGCACCACGTTCTTGCCCGCCAGGTCCTCGTCCGGCTTGACGTCGCGGCGCTCCAGGATGGCGCTGGGGCTGGGGGACACCCCCTGGGCCGGGGGCAGGCTGGACAGGCGCTCGCCGTGGTGGACGGGGCTGCCGGCGTACGAGGGCGGGCGGCCGCCGCTGTAGGACATGCGGGAGCGGGACGGCGACGAGGACTGGAGCACGGGCGGAGGGGAGCCGGAGGCCAGGTGGGAAGCCGGGGAGATGTTGTTGAGCCGGCGGGTGGGAGAGGATTCCCGGGATGTGTAGACCATGTCTCGCTGTGGGGATGGGGTGGGAGGGTCGGCACGGAGTGAGCCTCGCCCTGCCGGGCCCTCCGCCCCGCCAAGGACCAAACCCTTGGCGAAACCTCGGCAAATCCTTGGTAAAACCTTCCCTCGGAGCACAAACCCTGTGAGGAACGGCTGAGGGAGCTGGGGGGGCTCAGGCTGGAGAAAAGAAGGCTCAGGGGTGACCTCAGCGCTCCCCACAGCTCCTGAAGGGTGGCTGTGGCCAGCTGGGCTTGGGCTCTTTCTCCGGGCAGCGCTGGCAGAACCAGAGGTCACAGCCTCGAGCTGCACCCAGGGAAATTTCGGTTGGATGCCAGGAAAAAGGTTTTTACAGAAAGGTGATAAAGTTCTGGAATGGGCTGCCCAGGGAGGTGGTGGAGTCACCACCCCTGGAGGTGTTAACCAAGGCTGGAGCTGGCACTGGGTGCCAGGGTTTGGTTGAGCTCAATGATCTTAAACATCTCTTCCAGCCCAGTGATTCTGTGAATTTGGGGTATTTGGGGCAATTTTGGGCATTCCCATGGACCAGGAGGTGGTGGAGTCACCACCCCTGGAGGTGTTAACCAAGGCTGGAGATGGCACTGGGTGCCAGGGTTTGGTTGAACTGTTGGGGCTGGGTTGGACTTGATGATCCTGAAGGTCTTTTCCAACCCAGTGGTTGTATTTTGGGAATTTGAGGGAATTTGGGACAATTTTGGGAATTCCTGGGGCTTGGGAGAAGGTGGATTCATCATACCTGGAGGTGTTTAACCAAGGCTGGAGGTGGCACTGGGTGCCAGGGCTTGGTTGAGGTGATGGGGCTGGGTTGGACTTGATGACCTTGAAGGTCTTTTCCAACCCTGTGATTCTGTGAATTCTGTGCTTGTGATTCTATGACTGTAATTCAGTGATTCTGTGATTCAGTAATTCAGTGATTCCATAATTCTGTGATTCTGTGAATTCTGATTCAGTAAGTCAGTGATTCTGTGATTCCATGATTCTGTAATTCTGTAATTCAATGATTCTGTGATTGTGATTCTATGGTTCTGTAATTCAGTGATTCCGTGAGTCAGTAATTCAGTGATTTTGTGATTCTGTGATTCAGTAATTCAGTGATTTTGTGATTCTGTGATTCTGTGATTTTGCGATTCAGTAATTCAGCGATTTTGTGATTCTGTGATTCTGTAATTCTGTGATTGTGATTCTGTGATTCTGTAATTCCGTGATTCTATGATTCTGTAGTTGAGTCATTCCATGATTCTGTAATTCTGTGATTCTATAATTCAGTGATTCCGTGATTCAGTAATTCAGTGATTTTGTGATTCTGTGATTCTGTGATTGTGATTCTGTGATTCAGTAATTCAGTGATTTTGTGATTCTGAGATTATGTAATTCCGTAATTCTATGATTCTGTGATTCAGTAGTTGAGTGATTCCATGATTCCGTAATTAATTCTGTGATTCCCAGCCAGCAGCAGGGCAACTCATCCTAATGAATTACCTTGACGATTTAATTCCCTGAAACCACATTTACAACCCCGCCGCCAGCCCCCACCCAACGCTGCCGGCAGGCAGGATGAATCCCACCCACCCACGATTCCCAATTCCCAACTTCTGCCACTGCTCCCGCCCCACCAGGCCCCGCCACCCCCCCAGGCTGTCCCCGTGTCCCGTGTCCCGTGTCCCCGTGTCCTGTGTCCCCGTGTCCCGTGTCCCCGTGTCCCGTGTCCCCGTGTCCCGTGTCCCGTGTCCCCGTGTCCTGTGTCCCCGTGTCCCCGTGTCCCGTGTCCCCGTGTCCCGTGTCCCCGTGTCCCGTGTCCCATGTCCCCGTGTCCCGTGTCCCGTGTCCCCGTGTCCCCCCTCACCCTCAGGTCGCCGTTGGTGATGTGTGAGGCCGGGAACGAGGCGTAGAGCGGCTCTTTCCGGTAGATTTTAATGATGCTTCTGTCCTGGATGTCTCTGGAAGCGGAGGCAGAGCCTGAACACCCGGGAGAGACCCCCAAAACCCCAAAGCCGCACCCACCACCCCCTTTTGTCCTTCGTTCGTGTCCTGGGTTGTCGGGTACATGTATTCAATTAATCTGTTAGAGGTGGGACCGTTATCTTCTGTTAATTGGGCAATTATCTTCTGTTAATTGGGCAGTTGTCTTCATTGGGCAGATTTTTTTTTATCTCTTCCACAACCAATCCTCCCTCCAGGAGACATCTTCTGTTCATGGGCTATTAATGATTAATTATCTTCTGTTCATGGGCCATTAATTATTAATTAACTCCTGTCCCTGCACGGCTGATAAAATTCCATCATCCCATTGGGAGAAGCCAAGAATTCCTACCTGGATACAATCTGGCATTTGGAATAGCACAGAAACCTTTTCCCAGAAAAAGCCCAGGCCCATCTCCAGGAGCCCTGGAGCTCCAGAGGAAAATTCCCTCCTTGTGCAGATCCTGCTCCAGCAGGAGCACAGCTGGCACTGCAGGAGGGCTGAGACCCCTGGGATGGCACCAGGAGAAATTTTAATTTTCCTAGTAAAGAGCTATTATTCCTACTCCCATATCTTTGGCCTGAAAACTTTTTAATTTTAAAATTATAATAATTTCGACGGAGGAGAATTATATTTTCCATTTCAAGGGAAACTCCTGCCTTCCTTAGCGGACATCTGAATTTTCAAACCAAAACAAATTTTAACTTTTGTATTAAAGAACTGTTTTGCCTACTCCCATATCTTTGCCTGAGAACCTTTTAATTTTAAAATTTTAACAATTTGGATGGAGGAGATTTATATTTTCCATTTTAAGGGAAACTCCTGCCTTCCTTAGCGGACACCTGAATTTTCAAACCAAGAGAAATTTTAATTTTCTTAGCAAAGAACTGTTATTCCTACTTCCATAACTTTGTCCGAGAGCCTTTTAATTT